CCCGTCGATGTTTCTACGCACCGACACTACCTTGCCGTCGTTCTACGTTCTCGTGTACGTCGACGACTTGGTTTTTGCTGCTGCTTACACGGAGGCGCTGGCCCTAGTGAAGGCGAAGCTGCAGGAGAGACACATCTGCACTGACCTGGGTGAGCTGCGGACCTATCTTGGCTTGCAGATCACCCGGGACAGAGCACGGCGCACCATCACCCTGACTCAGTCACATATGGTGCAGCAGGTCCTTTAGCGCTTCGGCTTCCAGTTCTCCTCGCCACAGCCCACTCCTTTGTCTACCGACCACTTGCTCTTAGCTCCACCTTCGGACGAGTCTGTAGAGCCGAGTGGTCCGTACCCAGGGCTTGTGGGTTGCCTCTTGTACCTAATGACGTGCACACGACCTGACCTCGCGTACCCTCTCAGCCTCCTGGCTCGCTACGTGGCTCCCGGTAGACACCGAAAAGGTGCAGTGGGATGCTGCGAAGAGGGTACTGCGTTACTTGTGCAGTACATCGGGCATGGGGCTCGTGCTTGGAGGACGGGGTTCAGTGGCACTCACAGGACAATTCGACGCTTCTTGGGCCAACGACCAGGCGACTCAGCATTCGTCACAGGGTTACACCTTCAGTCTTGGCTCTAGTTCTGTCTCGTGGAGGTCCACTCGTTCTTCTTATGTGCTTGGTTCCAGCTATGAGGCCGAGATCTACGCTGGGGCCATGGCTGCACAGGAGCTACGCTGGCTGACCTACCTGCTGACCGACTTGGGGGAGCGGCCTCGTTCTCCTCCAATTCTGTACGTCAACAACAAGGCAATGCTTGCCTTGTGTCGCGAGCAGAGACTGGAGCAGAGAACGAAGCACATTGCTCTTTGCTACTTCCTTGCACGTGAGCTGCAGCAGCGTCGTCAGCTCCGCCTTTCCTACGTGGCCTCACGGGCCAACACTACTGATGTGTTCACCAAGGCCCTTGGGTCTGGTGATCATCAGCGTTTCTGCACTGCTCTTGGCGTTTCTGCACTGCTCTTGGGCTTGTGCCCACTCTGCCTCACCTGCTGGTTGCTTGACTTGCTCTTGTTGTACACCGATATATATCTTTATACCTGCTTGTTTACTCTTGCTAGGTTGTGATCACTGTACTGCCTTGCTATTATAACTCTGCATGTGAACTTGTGGCCGCTTGCTTGTGCTCATATTGTGTGGTGTCCTGAGATCCACCCTGAGCTTTGCTTTGCTTGTTCACTTGCTTGACTGGTCTTGTGACCGTCTGTTGTGTTTGCTCTCTCCCACTTAGCCTATGGGGGTGTGTCAAACTGTATGTTTGCGTTCTCTCTAGGCTATAGTGGGTTAGCCTATAAGAGGTACAACACTTTAGGGTTAGTACTTGTACCCAACTCATTCATAGTTCATTCATTCCTGCACAGTTGTTTCTGACAGCAATGGCGACTAATCACATACACGTGGTAGTTGTCGCTTCGGTGTTAGCAGGCTTGGGGACTTGAGTTCCAGGATCCACAGTGACGTTCACCGCTCTGCCACCATTGAGTGCGTGCGGCTCGGCAGCTGCGGTGTCTTGATAAAATAGTACCATCCACTCCTACCGTGGGGGTTTTATCACCGTGCCGCTCCTAGAGGCAGAATCACCCCGTTCAATCTGCTTCCACAGAGCCTTGAGGCGCTTCTACTGGTTGGTGCAGGCGGTAACGTTTCTGCACCAATCAGGGTGCTGCAGTTTAATGTGTTCGATAAGACACAACCAATACTGATTGCCTTGTTTTCCCGTCATTTGCGTCAGCTCGTCTTTGGTGAACCATCGAGCAGCCACAAGAATCGTTGATTCTCTCGGTGACCACTCCGAGTGCGGTCATTTTTCCGGACTGGCGTGAATCGTCGGCTCGCTATGCACTTCGGACTGCACCCGCCCCTTGCCCTTTCATTTTTCCTTCTCGCGAATCAGCAGGCCTCTTTTTCTAGGACTCTCGGCTGATGCAGCGTCGCGATCTTCGGCGGGCCCGTTGTATTCTGGATCGCCGCACTACGCGACCACTGGGTCGTCGCCTTCGGTGTTGGCATTGTCGTCATCCTCCGCCGAATCGTTGACGTCGTCGTCCTCATCCGTATCATAGTCGGTAAAGGCACCGATGTTGGTAGGGCTGGGGGTAGAACGAGGAGTGGCGGTAGACTGCGCGGGCGTCTGTCCCACATTACACAGGGGCCTAGCCGTTGGCCTCCCTGCGGCCACTTGAACCTTCATCCACTTGACGTACGCGAGATCCTCAGGACGCCATGATGCATCTTCGCTGGTGGTTGCCTAGTTTTTACGCTTGTGGGCCATATTGCTAGATGTGTGGCAGCAGTAGGAAGGTACTACCAAATATGTATGCCCAGATCACTGATAGCGGTGGTAGAGAAGGTAATGTGGTTGGAGATGACAAGGACCCTGAATCGCTGAACGTGCGAGGCATGCCTTTTTTGGCGCGGCGCACATTTGTCAAAGTTTTGAGCCACGTTTGCAGAGTCTGCACGTTTTTATGTAGCGCACGACTGCCACGTCCCACAGCCAGGCCCTCAGATTCGTTTTGGGGCTGTCTGATTCGTCAGACTTAGTACAAATTTATAGTCTGATTAATCAGACTTGGTACAAAAAAAAAACTCTGAAATTTCAGAGTTCAAGAGTATAAAAGTCTGATTACACAGAGTTCACATTAATGGGGAAGCTGATGGATCAGCCTAAAACGAGGTGGTGATTGCGCCGCGCGACACTGCTGTCACTGTTTCAGCTTGACTGACAGGACTGAACTGTACTTGCAGCGCTCATCGCGGCTGATAGTGCAGATTTCGCACAGGAATACTAGAGTAGGTACCCGCTAAAACGCTCATGGATCAGAGTACACTCTGAGAAAAAGGCTGAAAAATCAGACAAGGCCTACATTTGTTTTCTGAATATTCAGAGTTCACAGCAAAAAAAACTCTGAACTTTCAGAGTTCACTAAAAAAAAAAGGCTGAAATATCAGACTTTGTTAGGCAAATCAGAGAAATTTCTCTGACTTCTGGGGGCCTGCCCACAGCTGAGCATGAATGTGTGACAGCCGCATCCGCAAGGTAGACGTCTGCTCGTTTGACGGGACCGTGCACCGGGAAATATGCACGTCTTAACGATGTTATGCGAGCAATTTCATTGGTGCGCAGATTCGGTACATTTCTGATACGATGCGTTCTATAATGTGTACATAGCGAAAATACATTCTTGATACGAGGTGCCCCTGATAGGAGGTCATAGGAACACGCTCTAATTCAATAAACCTTTTAGCCAACCACTTTGCAGCCCACCGTACCAGTCACACTCGTGCCACTTAACTACCATCGAAAAGCGGGGTGAACTAGGAAAGTAGCTCTGATACCAAGCGTTATGAGTTGTCAAAAGAGTTGCGCGGAATAACCAACAACGAATAACGAATAACGAAGCTGTGACTATATGGACTGTCGATACAATGAAAGACACGGGATACTATAGCGGGTGAACCTAGCTAGGCGGAACCTCGGGAACACGAGGTTGGGTGCAGGTTGGGCAAAGTGAAGCCGAAGACGACGCGATGTTGCTTCGGTAGCAAGCGATCCGGCCGAACGTGCACTTCCGAAAGTGGGGGTTGTACGCGAAGCAGTAAACCCCGATTAAAGCCTAAGCCCTGAATTGCTCAACGCAAGTCAACACGGGGCAAAACTGTTCCTTTTTTTGTAATTCGGGTTTTGGGCTTTAAGGAAAGGGTTTTTTTCCTTACATATATGTAACCAGCCAGAGCATATACAGTCCCTTGAAGCTGGTGGCGAAGTTTGCGAAAACTCTCGAAATGAGATGCACGTTTCAGTCCATGCCTGCCCGTAAGGACGCGTCACATTTGAAAAACCGAGGAAGGTTCGGGAATGTTCACCGACCCTGCCAAATCGATCGCCACATCGGTGTGCCACGACTGATTTTTTGCAATCGCGGACCCACCGCAAGTCCCAAGTGACACGATCGGAAAATCATGGGGCAAAATTGCCCGATGTGGACGAAATTGCACGATCGATATGTGACAAGGGCACATCGATCGCCCGACTCCGAGGGGACAACTGTACATTGGCGACGGTTACGAAGACAAGTAACCAGCACTTAACGACGTCGTGAATGCGAAATTCCGATCTTGTGCAGGATCGGTGTTTTACTTGTGACGCGTCCTAAGATTGGCGTGCTTGGGTGTCATGTGTTTGCTTCATTGGCAGCCAACCATGCTGACTCAGTTTATCAATGTCCAGTCAGCATGGCTCGAAAAGTCAACACAAGTCAGCAATAAGAATTAGGACCGACAGCAACTCATCCCGCGAAGGCTCTTACTCACCACTCACGGGATGAGTTGCTGTCGGTCTCACGGGATGATATTGGCGGGGCGCGCGCAACAGCCAGAACTTCACCCGATTCAAGCCCCAAAGCGTTCCCCTCCATCGCTGTTTCACAATCCTGCACATTTTGCATCCATACTACATTTCCCTGGTTCGTCTCTCAGATTTCTCGGACTCGTAGACTATTCTCAAAGGTACCTTCTAGCTCAACTTGCGACCGCATTTCGTAGTAACTATTAATAAAATATATCGTAAAAGCTATGCTTGGTGGACCCTACTGCTCTGCTTTAAAAACAAGATCGAGGATGGGTTTCTTTTGCTGCTTTCCTGGCACGAACCGTGAGTCACGCAAAGTGTTCAAATAGTCGGTCTAGGTGACTTGAAAGCTTCACTCAATCAGCGTCTTGTGTTATTATCATGCGCCCAAAGTTTAGACGTATCATTGTTTTTAGAATCTGGCTTTCTGCGGCTTGTTTCACATCGTTTTTCCGGGCGAAATAGAATCCATTTCTCGTTCTCAGTCGTCATCGTCCAAGGGTTAAGTGCGGACGGTGCTTCAGCGGCACTCGATTTTTGAGTCGGACTATAAATTCATAGCTTTTACAATCGCCGTTTCCTGCATCACCAAAATGTTGCTGACCCAAACTTTGGTCCCAGAGGATCCTCGACCCCAGTCCTTTCTTAAAGCTGACCCTATTAACCCCGAAGTAACTTTTCGGTCAGAAGTTAGTTAAGGGACAATTTATGGCTAGTAAATACTCTAACCGAAAATAACTTGAGCCAAAACTGACCCGAATCTGCCTACGCGAGTATGGAGCTTTAGGGATGCGGGTTAAAGACTTGATGCTGGCAGTTTCTCGTCTGTGAATTTTGTTTGGAGCAATGTGGGCTGCTAGTGGAGTGCTGGAGACGCGGGTTCGATACTCGGCATCGACCGATTTTTAACATAAATGTCGTTTTTCTTTTTCCGTGTCTACCCTGCTAGAGCGATCTCATTATCATCCATTAGGCTACACCGTATAACTAGTTTATAGTGACGTAGACATTTCCAGTGGCGATGGTGCCGGCTGCGTGCTTCCGGGGTCACCTCACCTGGTACTACTCACATGATAGGTAATGATGTTTCCTCCTCACACTCCACATTGCCCCGCAACAACCCTAACTTTCCCTCCTCCTAACCTTTCCCGCTTCTTTCCTCTCCAACAACTACCCTTTCCGCCGTTCCCCTTTCCCCCCCAAACGAGCGGCCCCCGTAGGCTATCCGGGCAGTGGGGGCGGACGGCTTGGTGCGGCCGTACTAGCACTCCTCCCGGCAAAACCATTCGTCCCACCTCCCCACTCCCCTCTTCCCTCCTGTCCTCCCAAAAGACCATGAGCCCGTGGAGATGCGCGCCGTGGAGGACGACGGCACGCTGCCGCAGTACTCGCAGGAGGAGCTGCGGCGGATGACGTGCGACTGGCGCACCAAGCTGGGGGAAGGCGGCTTCGGCGCCGTCTACAAGGGCATGCTGCTGCTGCCGCACGGGGGAGCGCGCGGGGGAGGGTACGGGGAAGGGGTCGGGGGAGGGTGGGACGAACGGGACCATGAGGAAGAGGTGCGAGGGGGGATGGGGCCCGGGATCAATGATGATTTGGAAGTGGTGCAAGTGGGTGGGAAGGAGTTTGTTCCGGTGGCGGTGAAGATGTGCTTGACTGACAATGCGGAGGGAGGGGCAAGAGAGCAGTTGCTGGTGAGTGAGCGATACTACTGTGATTGACTTACACATGAACACTTAGTTGGTGAGTCACAAACAAACTTCTATCAGGTAAGTTACAGACAAACAGCACTTACCTGGTAAGTTACAAATGAACAATAACCTGGAAAGTTACAAATGTATACTTTCCTGGTGATTTCAGCTCTTACCATATACCCCAACTTTTCCTTCAACCACCCACCCCCCCCTCCTCTCACCTCTCCTCCCTCCCACATCAGACAGAGATCATACCGATGACTGCTCTGCGCGCTTTCTCATTGTCCCTTCCCTTCCCCTCTCCCTCAATCAACCCCCTGCACCCATCATTCTCCTATGGAGCTCATGATGATGACTGCTCTACACCATCCCAACATTCGCGGCCGCTGGGAGTGGCTTGGGCGAACCATTAGACCCCCCTACACCCACCCTTGTCAGATGTCAGACAGAAATCACGGTCGTGACGCTCCCCCGCTTCTCCTACTCCGTGCCGCCACCCCCTTCTCCTCCTCTCCCCATTGATCAGACGGACGTCACGAGGATGACTTCTTTACACCATTGGCCCTTCTGCCTCCTCTCCCCTCTTGCCCAACCCGCTCTCCCTTCCCTCCAACAGACAACTGTCCTGCACCATTGGCCCTTCCCCTTCCTCTCCCCTCTTCCCGCCCCCCGGACCTCTCCCCGTACCCCCATCAGACAGAGTCACAGAGATCTCAATAATGACTGCGATGCACCATCCCAACATTCTGCGCCTGCTGGGAGTGGCTGTCCTGGGGCGAATCATCAGACTCCCCCCCTCTTTTCAGAACCCCCTGCACCCACCCTTGTCAATGGTAGGTAGGAATCGCTGTCGTGATGCCCCCCCCTCCTCCTCTCCTCCCCTCTGCCATCCTCCCCTTCTCCTCCACTCCGTCATTCCCACCCGGTTTCTCCTCCCTCTCCTCTCCCCCCATCAGACGGAGGTCATGATGATGACAGCGGTGCACCATTGGCCCTTACCCTTCCTCTCCCCTCTTCCCCATCCCCCATCAGACGGAGGTCATGATGATGACAGCGGTGCACCATTGGCCTTTACCCTTCCTCTCCCCTCTTCCCCATCCCCCATCAGACGGAGGTCATGATGATGACAGCGGTGCACCATTGGCCTTTACCCTTCCTCTCCCCTCTTCCCCATCCCCCATCAGACGGAGGTCATGATGATGACAGCGGTGCACCATCCCAACATTCTGCGCCTGCTGGGAGTGGCCGTGATGGGGCAAACCCTTGCCATGGTCTCTGAGTTCGTCCCGGGCGGAGATGTTTCCCAGCGGTTGAAGAAAGGTACAGGAGGGTGGAATGCGGTGGAATGCGGTGGGCATGTGAGCACATGATGGGGCGGATCACTGCCTTGGGCTCTAAGATCGTCCTGGGGGGGAGAGGGGGGGGGGGGATGTGGGGGGAGATTACCTGCGCTTAAAGAGAGGTAATATGCGGTAATCATTCCTTGTGTGGTGTGATGCAATGGGGTTCCTTGTATCCAACACCTGATGACTTTTGAGGCGCCTAAAAAATTGCGGGTGTAGAGACGACTTTCGAGGCGCCTCATCATTCGTTGTGTGGTGTGATGCGATGGGGTTCCTTGTATCCAACGCCTGATGGGCATCCGGGTGTGAAAATCCGCAGCGTTTTTTTCTTCTAGCGAAAGCAACTGGAACAAGCAACTGAAACTTGTCCCTCTCACCCCTTGCTTTCCTTTCATTCACTCATTCATGACAACCAATATCTCAGGCACCTCGAAACCAGCCCCGCTCACCCCTCCCGCACACCCCTCCCGCTCGCCCCTCTCTGTCCAAGCAGCAAGGACTGATACAGAGCCCTTCCCTTGGAAGGAGCGGTTGCGCATCGCCAGGGGGAGTCTGGAGGGGCTGGCGGCCATTCACAGGGAGGGATTCATCCACCGCGACTTCAAGTCCGCCAACGTGCTTCTAACGAAGGTTGGTTCCTGTTGTGTGCTTCTCACCTAGGTGGGTTCCTGTTGTGTGCTTCTATCGAAGGTGAGTCAGCTCAGTGGGCTCATATTTCTAATCCACAGGGAGGCATTCATCCCCAGCGACTCAGCATACGCCTGGTGACGTTTGTGTGCGTCACTCTAAGTGAGGGCACACTTACATAACGTTTCAATACGCATCATCATCATCATGGTTTCTACTCAGGCTGGCCAGGATGCTCGAATCACAAGCGCTAGATGTTGGGATGCTTGCTCGACTTCCCCCGGAGCTTCGAGGCGCCTTAGAATTGTTTTGAGGCGCCTAAAAAGTCTCCTCAAGAGGCGCCTCAAACATCACCTCAAGAGGCGCCTAAAAAATCGACTTCCCCCGGAACTTCGAGGCGCCTAAGAAACTGTCTCACTCACTATCCACAGACCCCCTTCTGGAAGACCGGCCATGACCAGCCGAGGCTAAGCAAAAGCACAACACATGTTGCAGCCCTTGACTACTTTCACCCAACCTCAGTTTCCTCTTGCTTTGTACCTATGTGTTTCTTTCTCCACACGCTCATCTTTAAGGAGGTGTATGTTTCGGTTTACCCAATGCGTGGCAAGTAGACGTCTTAGCCAAGGCATGTCAGAACAAAACACGTCTCCTGTTTAAGCAAGCATGACAAGTATGCATTCCAACTCCTACAAATGCGTCTCCTTGCGGCCTCGGACTTTTCACTCTCACCTGTTTTTTTTTTTGTTCGTTTTGTCAATCTGCATGTTTCCAGGCAGTTGTTCCGACGGTGGCGAATTTTGGATTGGCCAATGCATGACACGACAAAAGGGCGAGAGTTGCTGCGTCCATGTAGCTAATGTACCCTTCTTACCTCTCAGTATCTGTATGTTTCCAAACACTCGTTCCCAAAAATGGCAGATTTCAGGTTGGCCAAGGCATGTCGGAGCAAGTCGCATCTTCTTGCGGTCTCGGATTGATTCCTCCCACCTACTGTTTCCTGTTCTTGTTTTTAATCCGCATATCTCCAGACGCTCGTTCCCAAGGTGGCTGATTTCGGATTGGCCAAGGCATGCCAGGACAAGACACATGTCACGACAAGAGTGGCTGGGTCGTGGGGCTACATGGACCCGGACTATTTTGAGAGAGGTGAGCCAGCGCGTTGTGTGTTGTGTGTTGTGTGTTGTGTGTTGTGTGTTGTTTGTTTGTGTGTTGTGTGTTGGGTGTTGTGTGTTGTGTGTTGTGTGTTGGGTGTTGTGTGTTGTGTGTTGTGTGTTGGGTGTTGTGTGTTGTGTGTTGGGTGTTGGGTGTTGGGTGTTGTGTGTTGTGCCTCATGTGATGAGACGACTTCTTTGTCAGTTTAGAGAATGGCTGGGTCGTGGGGCTACATGCCATGTAGTCCAGTGGGACTGTTTTGAGAGAGGTGAGCCGACGTGCTGCGTGTTGCGCCTAATGTGATGAGACGACTTCCAAGTCAATTTAGAGAATGGCTGGGTCGTGGGGCTACATGCCAGGTATGCACACTGTGCATCCAAAGTAATCATGGCTCAGGTATGGCCAAGGTGAGCTGCTCTCCAAGCATGATTTGCCTCGAAATTCGCTTGGTAGTGCGGATGAGATGGGTTTGTGCGACACTTGAGAGGTGCGTCGTTCAAGAGTCGTTGTAAGTATCTTCCTCTGCATTTGCTCCATTTGCAATTCATGTGACCCCTCACGATTCATTCCTTGCAATCTGTACACTCACACTCATCTCTTGCGTCTCTCACAATCTGACCAAGCTTGCTGGCATCATCTTGCTGCCATCTGATCAAGCTTCTTGATTATGTCACGTCTCGCACTACTCCAACCAGTGACTAGGTTCTGAGATGTGTCCTGGTTGCTCCCCTAACTTTTTACCCCTTCAGGAATCTTATCAGCGCATTGCGACACGTACGCTTTCGGCGTTTTCCTGCTAGAGCTAGTCACTGGGCGTGGTGTGCTGGATGAATCATTTCAAATGAAGCGGAGACATTTGCGGAACCTTGCGTTCGCGGATTACGCCGAGCTGTTCGACAAAAAGCTGGAGGGGCAATGGACGGAGGAGCAAGCGGAGGTTCTGGTGGGCATGATGCGAGATGCGATTCAGAGTGACTGGGCTAATCGACCCACTACGGATCAATTGCTAGTGACGTGGAATGAGCATATTTGTCTAGAGGAATAAAAGAACCTATTTGTTCAGTTTCACTCGTGTTCAGGCCCTACAATATCAAGGTAAAACATCCTGATTACCCTGATTTCAGGGTGTGTCCAGGGACTGTGCCCTGAAATTTCAGGATAGTGTTGGATTTTCACCTTGTAACTTCAGGTTGATTGCAAACCGTATCACGCGCCCTGGAATTTCAGGATGTGTGCATTTTTTTGCCCTGAAACCTCAGGATGAATGACGAGGAGTGCCCTGCCGAGAATATTATACTCTATGTGATTTGAGACGTATAAAAAAAAAAACGTGATTCTGGGGCCATCCATATCCAACGAGAGGACTCGCATTTACTTAGTACCCGAGCTTCTTGTTCATTAGGGTTTGGCCATCACCGGTTTGACCTGCGAGGAGAGTGGGATGGTGGGACAAGCAGTGGTTTCGTTTTGTGTGCATATGGCAGGAATGTTGTGAGGTATGCACATCAAATTTGATTCATAGATGGTTGTGGAGGCTTGATGAGAAGAGACATACAAAAGGAGTGATGGCCAAGCAATGAAACTGCACACCACGCCAAGGCCACGCACTCACATTGCACACACACGCCCATCCACACACACGCCCATCCACACACACGCCCATCCACACACACACACACACACACCTTGGGGAGACATCCAGGCGTGCTGTGCTCCATCACTGCACACTGCACACTGCATACGCGCTCGCCCAACCAACCAAACACACACAGGCACGCACCTTGCGCACTGTGCACACACCGTGCACACACGTGCGCAACAACTCACCCACACACGCCCCACCACACACACTGACCTTGCGGGGGCATCCAGGCCTCGGTGCCTTGCTCCATCTCCGCTGCTGCCTCCTCCAGAAACTTGGGCTTCGCTGGCCCCAACACCCTCCGCCGTTTCCCCTCACCTCCCCCTCCACCGCCACCACCACTACTGCCAGTACCAGCACCAGCACCAGCAGCAATGCTCCGCTTGCTCCGACTCTCACCGTCACTGACATCCCCACCTCCTCCTCTCTTCCTCCCTCCCACACTCTCTTTCTCATCAATCTTGCTCCCTCCCACTCTCTCTTTCTCATCAATCTTCCTCCCTCCCACAATCCCTCCTGCCGTTTCCTGCTTCCTTGCTTCCCCTCTCCCCCCTCCCCTCCCTTTCTCTTCCATCTTTCCCACTTCCACCTCCTCTGCCGCACTTCCCTCGTTCCCATCCCTCCCTTGGATCCCCACATCTGCTGCTTCTTCTGGTCCCACTCGGGCACCGCTGCTTTGGGCTGCTGCACTGACGAGCACACTGCCCCTCCCTTTTGTCGCCTCCTGCCGCTTCAACTCCTTTCCACCACCCTTCTCTGGTTCGTCGGCTTCCTCGGCAGCAGCAGCAGCAGGAGCTGCGGCAGCAGCAGGAGGTGAAAGGGCAGCAGCACCAGCTGCAGCAAGAGGAGGAGGAGGGGCAGCAGAAGAGGCACCAACAGCAGCAGCAGAAGCGGTAGCAGCAGCAGTAGCAGGAGCAGCAGAAGCAGGCAGTGTGGTTGTCTCTTTCTGCCTCTTCTTGCCCTTCTCAACGGGAGGGACCCACTTGGCCTCGGCCTCTCCTGATGGATCTGCCAGCTGTAGCAGCGCTGCCACCCGCTCCAGCTCGCCTGACAACCGGGCGGCCTCCCTTGTCAGCGTCCCTAATTTGTCCATTTCTGGGGAAGAAAGTGGGAGTGCAGGTGAGAACACAACGTATGGACGGTGGAGACGGGTGAAGAGACAAAGACAGGGGAGGAGTAGAATTCGAAAGGGGACAAAGGTGAAAAAATGGGGAACATGAGAAAGGAAGGGGGAAGAGGAATCAACAGGAAAGCAACACCAGTTTCAACCATCACAGCAGCGCACCCACCAGCCCACCCAGCAGCACAATCCAACCACAATACCATTGCAATCGGATGCAAGAGCGGAGCAGCTCAGCCAGTGACAGCAGCAGCGGTGCCAGTGCACCCATCAAAATGTTCAAATATGACTCAACCCAAAAGTAAACGCAGCGCACCTATCTTTGTTGTCACAGCCGACATGAATGCATCCAGAGGATCCAGTGCCTCCGCACCGCCACCACCCTCCCCACCGCCCTCCCCCTCCCCACCTCCCCTCCCTCCCTCTCCTCCCTCCCCCCCACTCGCCTCCTCTCGCCTCCTCCTCTCCTCTGCCACCTGCCCCTCCACCTCTCTCAGTCGCTCCAGCAGCCCATGCCTCTCCTCCAGCAGGTCAACCGCAGTCACCACTCCGCCTCCTCCCCCTTTCCGCCCTCCTGCCGCTGCTGCTCCTCCTGCTCCCCCTGCCGCGCCTGCCCCTTCTCCCGCACTCTTCACACCTCCCAGGGCGATTCTTGCCTGCCTGCGGTGGCGGTTCGACTGCACTCGGTCGAAGAACTCATCATCACTGGGGGTGGCAAGGGGGATGACATGGGATGGACAGAGGATGGAGAGGAAACGACGAATCGTCGCCACATGCACAGAGGGGAAACTCATTGACTCTGGCTTGCCTGCGGTGGCGGTTGCACTGCACGCGGTCAAAGAACTCATCGTCGCTGCGGGAGGCAGGAAAGGGGGTAAGGGGAGGGGAAGGGGGGGTGTGGAGGGAAACGGACAGGCAAAGAGTCGCATTGATTCTGGCTTGCCTGGGGTGCCGGTTTGACTGCACTATGTCAAAAAGCTTATCGTCACTGGAGGGGCGGCAGGAAAGGAGAGGGGGGAGAGAGTGGAGGGGGAACTCATAGGCAAATACTCATAACTAGTTTTAGCTTGTCCGTGGTGGCGGTTCCTCCGCTCTCGATCAAAGAACTCCTGGTCGCTGGATGATGCAGGGGGGTTGGAAGGAAGGAGGGGTGGGGAGGGAAAGGAAGAGGGTAAGAGAATACTCAGAAGTGGTTCATCGTGTTTTGAGAATTCTCAAAACAAAGGCAGGGAAAGGAAAACGGACAGGCGAGATGTCATCATCCATTCGTCATCACTTATACTCGCTTGTCTGCGCTGGCAGTTCGACTCCCACCCAGTCGAACAACGCGGCGTCTGTGGTGTGGAGAGGGAACAGCGTGCAGGCAGATGCCCCAGCAAGGGAGAGAGAGCTGTGCTGCGCGAGTCGACTCTCAAAACCAGACCTGTGCTGCGCTGCGCCCACAAGCTCAGCCTTGCCAGGGCTGGACAGAACACGGGGAATTGAATTTCAGATTTTGACAGGGGTGGAAAAACATAGGCGAAGCACGCTCGCTTCTACCTGTACTGTTCGTTCCTGAGAGGGACTCGATCTGCCAACAATATGAATCTACAGCCTACTTTTGAGGCGCCTCAGAAGTCCTCAACTACAACAGTGGTCAAGAGCTAACACTTGCCAGGAGCAGGGTGCCTTTTGAGTCGACTCAAAACGAGGTGACATTTGACTTTTGAGCCGATGCAATGAGGTGATTTTTTATTCGACTCAAAATTCACCTCGCGTTGAAAGTCCTCAAAAGGTTACAACTATGGTCAAAGGCTAACACCTGCCGGGAGTGGAGAATTATGGAGACAGATGGATGGGCATGGGCCAACAAATGGGCATGGGGATGGGTGAAGGGGCATTGAGTAAAAGAAGGCACTTCTTTTCCCCCCCCTCACCTGTGACCTTCCCACTTACACATCATCTCCCTCTTTCCCCACACCTGTCATCTCCCCACTCACCACACATCTCCCTCCTCACCTGTCATCTTCATCCTCCTCCTCTTCCACCGCTCGTCCTCCTCTCCCCTTCCTCCTGCCTGCCTTTGCCCCCACCGACTCCTGAATACTCTCGTTCAGAGTCTCCTCCATGCTCTCCACCTCCTCCATCAGCTGGGGTGAACACAAAAGAAAGGGGTGGGGAAGGGCAGGGGAGGAGGTGTGAGTCAAGATCACTCTACTCCTTTAAGGTGCTTTCGTTCAGAGTCTCTTCCATGCCTCCACTGTTCCACCCCCCCCATCAACTGAAGATAGTGGCGAGGAGGGTGGGGAAGGGAGGGTAAAGGAAGATAATATGCTAAAAGTGCTCCCATTCAGACGCTCTTCCATGCTCTCCACCTCCTCCATCAGCTGAGAAGGAACACAAAAGAGGGGATAGGGGGGTGGCGGGAAGGGAGAGTTAATATCACTTAAAGGGCTCTCTTCTCAAACTGCCCTAATTCAGAGTCTCTTCCATGCTCTCCACATCCTCCATCAGCTGAGGATGAACACAATGGTCGGAAAGAAAACGGGCGGGGGAGGTGAAGGAAAGTGAATATTGCTCAAAGTATCCTCACTCAGACTCTCTTCCATGCTCTTCACCTCCTCCATCAGCTGAGGATGAAACAGGGAGAGTGTTATTTTGAAGGTAAGGATCGACAGGGACGTGCAAACAACTGCAGCTTCAACCATGATATCAAGAAGAACGGCTAGCTGGCTTTAAGTCATTGGAAGTGAATGCTCGACAACATACCGTGCTAGTCCATACTGTTGTGGCTGTTTTAGGGTGTTAGGTAATATGATGCTAAGATTAGGAGTGAACCTCGCAGGTAGGATATGAACGTAATCCTTCTTGCTAGGTTCACTCCTAATCTTAGCATCACATTAACTAACACCCTAAAACAGCCACAACAGTATGGACTAGTACGGTATGTTGTCGAGCATCCACTTCCAATGACTTAAAGCCAGCTAGTCGTTCCTCTTGATACCATGGTTGAAGCTGCTGCTGCTTGCACGCCCCCGCATCGTACTTGCACTGTCAGTAATAAGGTGACTTTTGAGTCGACTCACAAGCCTTCTTCCCCATCCACAGCAAATCTACTACACCCTTGTTGTTCAGGTTCAAGGTGCTCTCAGGGCATCGTACTTGCACTGCCAGTAATACCCATCCCCCATCCCCCAACCATCCCCCATCCATCCATCCACCCACCCACCCACCCACCTGCTGAATGCGTGTCTTGTTGCAGGCGATCTGAGCCTGCTGCCCTGCTGTGAGCCCTCCTCTTCAGACGCATCAAATCGCCACCCCTCCCCACCAATCCCCACCCCGCCCCACCCCACCCACCTGCTGAGTGCGTCTTGTTGCGGGCGATCCGAGTTTGCTGCCCCGCCGTGAGCTTGACATTGGTGACGCCTCAAAAGGCATCTCCCCTCTTCCCCCCCCCCCCCACCATTCGCGCGCCCTCCCTGCCAACCCCACCTTTTGTATGCGCACTCTGAAAGGGCGAGCTTGTTGCGGGCACTCCGCATCTGCTGCCCTCCTGTCAGCTCGCCCTTTCAGACGCCTCAAAGGCATTCCTCCCCCCTCACCCCTCCCCACTCTTCCCCATCCCTCCCCACCACCCACCTGCTGAATGCGAGTCTTGTTGCGGGCAATCTGTGTCTGCTGCCCTGCCGTGAGCCCCCCCTGCCCCACCTCCTTCGCCTCTATCACATCCATCTCCCGCTGCATGTGCTGCACCTGTGGGGGGGGCGAGGGGGAGCCGAGAGGGGCGGGCAACAGAAGGAGGAGACAGCTGCTTGAGGCTCATCGTGGTTCACTGGCTTCCCCTGCCTCCCCTGCCCCGCCTCCTTGGCCTCGATCACATCCATTTCCCTCTGCATGTGCTGCACCTGTGGGGGGTGCGAGGGGGCGGAGGGGGTCGGGGCAACAGCAGGAAAAGACACCGCGGTGCATTAGCTTCCCCTGCCCTCCCTGCCCCACCTCTTTGGCCTTTATCATATCCATCTCCCACTGCATGTGCTGCACCTGTGATGAGGGCGAGGGGGGCGGAGGGGGCGAGGGGGACGAGGGGGGCGAAGGGCAGAAGGGAGTGGGCACAGCCATTTGAGGGGCAGGGAAGCACATGCACAGCAGCGCACAGGCTATCCCTTCCCGGCCCCACCTCTTTGGCCTCTATCATATCCATCTCCCACTGCATGTGCTGCACCTGCCAGGGGGGCCAGGGGGGCGCGAAGGGCAGCATGAGATGCGAGAACAGCTACTTGAGAGGCTCACATGGTGCCTTGGCTTCCCCTGCCGCACCTTGCGCCGCATGTGCTGCTGCACCTGTGAGAGGGGTGCAGCGATCAAACCTGTTCTTATCGACACGGGCATAAGAGCAGAGACATGAGTGCAGAGGACACCAAGGGAGCGATAAGAGCAGAGACATGAGTGCAGAGGACACCAAGGGAGCGATAAGAGCAGAGACATGAGTGCAGAGGACACCAAGGGAGCGATAAGAGCAGAGACATGAGTGCAGAGGACACCAAGGGAGCGATAAGAGCAGAGACATGAGTGCAGAGGACACCAAGGGAGCGATAAGAGCAGAGACATGAGTGCAGAGGACACCAAGGGAGCGATAAGAGCAGAGACATGAGTGCAGAGGACACCAAGGGAGCGATAAGAGCAGAGACATGAGTGCAGAGGACACCAAGGGAGCGATAAGAGCAGAGACATGAGTGCAGAGGACACCAAGGGAGCGATAAGAGCAGAGACATGAGTGCAGAGGACACCAAGGGAGCGATAAGACTCCTCATGTGCTGCACCTGTGGGGGGGCAGGAGGAAAACAGCAGGGAAGAACCTTCCCAACTTGCAACCTCCCCCACTCGCACCCTTCCCCCGTGACCCCTCCTCATTCCCCTTTCTCACCTTCTCCAGTCGCTTCATAATCTTCTCCTTGAGCTTGCTCTGGTTTTCCGTCAGCAAAAGGGGCAACGGGGTGATGGGCAATGGAAAACCATCACACCCCTCTCCCCCGCTCCCCTCACCTTCTCCAGTCGTTTCATGATCTTCTCCTTGAGCTTCCGCTGGTTGTCCCTCAGGAATTGCTCAACGGAACAACCATCTCAAGCCCTCCCCTCCCCCCCTCTACCTCTTCCTTCCTCACCTTCTCCAGTCGTTTCATGATCTTCTCCTTCAGCTTCCGCTGGTTGTCTGTCAGCTCGCCCTTGTGCGTCTGCCACGTCACCTCCTCCTGCTCCTCCTCCTCCTGGTGCTCGTACAGAGGGCACAGGGGTGATGGGGCAATGGGGCAATGGGGCAATGGAGCAATGGAGCAATGGGGCAATGGAGCAATGGAGCGACGGGTAAAGGGCAACGGGGCGATGAAGCAACGAGGCGACGGCGCGAAGGGGCAAGCAAGCAAGCACTGCCTTCACCAACCAGCTCCCAGCAGCCACACCAGATCCCACACCCTCTTCTCGCGCACCCCCAGCCATAGAAGCTTGTTAGGCGAGCTGCAGTCCCTCATCTAGTTTTGAGACGTCTCAAAGCAAGCACTCCCTCCACCATCCAGCTCCCAGCAGGCACACCAGATCCAACATGCTCTTCTCGCGTAAAATGAGGGTGTTTTTGAGACGTCTCAAAAAGCTCCCAGCAGGCACATCATATCCAATTCCCTCTTTCTCGCGCACCCCATGCCATCCGCCTTGACGCTCCACCCAGCTCTCCTTCCTGCACACCTTCATCATCACCACCACCTTCCCCCCCATCCACTCCCTCACCCTCTCCCTCACCCTCTCCCTCACCCTCTCCCTCACCCACTCCCTCACCCACTCCCTCACCCACTCCCTCACCCTCTCCCTCACCCGCTCCCTCACCCGCTCCCTCACCCTCTCACTCACCCTCTCCCTCACCCTCCCCCTCACCCTCTCACTCACCCTCCCCCTCACCCTCTCCCTCACCCTCTTCCCCATCCTCACCACCACCTTCCTGTTAGAATACTCCTATTCTTGTATCATGCTCAGACTATTAAGTCTTGGGTAGTTATAAGCACCCAAGCTTAGCTTGGGTGTAGAATCAGGGTTTGCCCTACTTGAGGGGTTGGGCCAACCCAACCTTGGTCCAATATTGTGACCCCCCAATAATTGAGCTCCCCATTATTGGAGGTTCAGTATTTGTGGTCCTCTACCACAATTATTGGCCCCTCCAATAATTGGTGACCCCAACTTATTGGTGAGGGCCAATAATTGTGACAAGGCCCTCATCCAACTCATCCCTCCTTCTCCAACTATGTAAACCTCTTCTTTCCTTAATGAGATCATCATTCAGTTTTCTAACATGGTATTCAGAGCTTCTAAGGCTCACGCCACACGATCCTCAACTCAGAACCACTACAAATTTCACGGCCCTATATCCCGCATTTCCGTCCAAACCATTACCCAACTCCCCGCGATTGCCTCGCCGGTCACTACGGCTCCTACGCCTAATTCCGCACGCCGTCGTCGCCGTTCGCGACGAACCCGCGCTGCTGCCACGACTTCCGACGGCAGCCCCCCTCCGCAATTTTGCGCGCTCTCACTTGCGAAGACCACCGTCGTCATTCCCCGTCGTCAATCGTCACACGCGCTGCCCCGACCGTCGTCCGTGCAGCTGCGAAAATCGCCCGCACAGCCGCGATCGTCATCCACGCGGCCCCGTCCGTCCCGCGCGGACTCGGGACCCTCGTCCACGCAGCCGCGACCATTCCGCGCGCTGCCCCGCCCGGCGCACGCACAGCCCCGTCCGTCGCCTGCGCAACCCCGCCCATCGCCAGCGCGGCCCCGCTCGTTGCACGCGCAGCCCCGCTCGTCGCTCCCGCTGCCCTGCCCGTCACCCGCGCAGCCCCGTCCGTCGCCCGCGCTGCCCCGTCTGTCGCCCGCGCTGCCCCGCTCGTCGCGCGCGAAGCCCCGTCCGTCGCCCGTGCAGCAGCGACTGTCGCTAGCGCAGCCGCGACCGTCGCCAGCGCAGCCGCGACCGTCGCCAGCGCAGCCGCGACCGTCGCCAGCGCAGCCGCGACCGTCGCCCGCGCAGCCGCGACCGTCGCCCGCGCAGCCGCGACCGTCGCCCGCGCAGCAGCGACCGTCGCCCGCGCAGCCGCGACCGTCGCCCGCGCAGCCGCGACCGTCGCCCCCGCAGCAGCGACCGTCGCCCGTGCACCCGCGATCGTCGCCCGCACGGCCTTACACGCTACCGGTGCTGCCCGCGCCTCCACGTAAGACTCCTCCCCACCCTCCCTCTCCCCTCCCCCTGTGGCTGCTCTCTCCCCTCCGCTCTCACACCTCGCATCATACCCTCACCCTTTCCTCCCCCTGTGGCTGCCCTCTCCCACCCACTCCATCTTCCCGCCTCCTAACTCTTACACCTATCTTCATCCCTTCCTCCCCCTGTGGCTGTCTCCCCCCCCCCAACTTGTCGTCATGGCCACCGATTCCTCTATTGACATTAGCTCCATTGATCGACTCGAACTCATTGCTGATACCACTCCGGTCAACTGGACTTCCTTCTCCGAAAGCATGCATGTCCTCCTTGGCTCTACTACCCTTCACAATTACAATCTTCTTGACCTCGTGCTTGACACCCCATTTGGAGCTGCCCCCTCCCCTCCCGTAGCACCCTCTTCCCCCCCTCCTCCCGACCCACCCGCTCCCCCAGGCCCTCCTCCCACAGCTCCACCTACGCCCTCCCACCACGATGACCCCGACCGATGGGCGCGCACTCTTCGCGACTACACTCGCGACCACGCCACCTACGTCCTCGCCGATGCGGCTCACAAGGACGCCCTTGCTGCTTACACCACCGCCACAGCCGCATCAGCCGAGTACGCGCAGAAGCTTGCTAAATATCGGGAGGAAGATCTGAAATACAAAGCCGATTCCTCCGCCTGGCGCCTTGCCGACCTTAAAGCACTCAACATCATACTTGCATGCATTCCCACCTCCCTCAAACGAGAGATCCGCCCTACCACCTCTGCAGCCCTTTGGAAAGACCTTACCACTCGCTTCGACCGCCAAGATCTCAACTCTCTTCTCGCACTATACCGCGACTTCCAGGCAATTTCTCTTGAAGCCTCTCCTAATGCTGCCACATTCACCCGCCGCCTCACTGACGCCGCTCGCCGCCTCACTGACCGCGGCATCACTATCACCGATTCCCTCCTCATGGCTCGCATTCTTGACGGCCTCCCCACTGCCTACACCACTCACAAAATCGCATTCACTACCGCTCGCACCGGCACTCCCTCCTCCTCCGATGTTATCTCCTGGCTACTTGACGCAGAAGCCGACCTCTTCCACTCCTCCTCCCCTCTCACTGCTGCTCTTGTGCGTGGAGGTGGAAGTGGCCACGGCACTCCTAGCAGCGGCTTTGGCGGAGGACGCGGTGCGGGACGTGGTGGTCGTGGTGGAGGCGGTCGCTCCACTCCTCGCCAAGGTGGTGGCCGTGGTGCTGGTCGCGGTGGTGCCTCCGGACTCGGCACCCTCTCCCCATGTCAATATCTCATTCGCTACGGCTCGCTCAAAGGCCAGCGCTGTCTTCAAACGACTCACACCACAGCCACCTGTTTCAAGGCACTCACCGATGAATGGTTTGAACGTGGTAACACTGGTACCCCCCCCCGCTGGCACCTCCTTCATCCCCTTCCCACCCCTCATGATGTACGCACCTCCCCGGTCTACCAGCCCCCCTCTATCTCTCAGGTCCTTCCCACCTCCCCAATCCCTCCTCCACACACCCTCCCCACCCCGTACCCCCCTTTTCCCCCTCCACTCGCATCCCCTGTTTTTCCCCAACCCCCTCCCCCCGCCCCTTGGTACCCTTTACAATACCCCCCCTACCCCGTCTACCCCCCGACCCCTCCCCCTCCCACTCCACCCACTGACCCACCCAAGGTGACCGAACCTACCCCTCCTTCCCCTTCCTATCCCCCAGGCTTTACCCCATTTCCCTTTGCTGCCTTCGTAGGACAAAGCCTCCAGTCTCCAATGCCTAGTGATCCTTCCATGTATGCTGATGCTATTAATACAATGTCATTCCAGTACTCCGCGCCCTCTCCACCTCTCGAATTCGTCTTAGACAGTGGTGCCTCCCACACCGTTCTTCGTGACGCTGGAACCCTCACTCCCCTCTGTCAGTACTTAGGCTTAGAAGCGATGCATTAGTAATGAGCTTGAAGCTCTTTAAGTACATCCAAGAAGGGGAGGGAATGGATGGGGAAGGGAATCGGGGCAATCCCTAGGGATTGGGGGTAATCCCAAGGCAATCTTCAATTGGTGGGTTGGAGATTGCTTGGAGATTACATTTGGGTTTGGTTGGGATGTAGGTGTACACCCAACCAAACACAATGTGCAAACTACACTACTCTAGGATATAGAAAATGCAAAGTACAAAGTGTGAGATTGAAGGCTAACACTAACACCCCCCCATAGGCGTCAATCAAACTCAGGGTAGAGAGGGTGGTACACAGAGCCCCATGGCGCCTAGGAGACGGTGGTGGGGAACTTTTCCAAGGGGCTTGGTGAACAGATCAGCCAGGTTGCAGTCGGATGCTACGTATTCCACTTTCAGCTGCTCCTGTTGGACAAGGTCACGGATGAAGAAGTGCCGGAGTTCAATATGCTTGGTGCGGGTGTGATACACAGGGTCTTGGGAGATGTGGATGGTACTCTGGTTGTCACACCAGAGGGTGGGGGCGGACTGTGGGAAACCAAGCTCCTGGAGTAGGAAGGTGAGCCAACGGGCCTCCTGAGCAGCCATGGTGCCAGCGTAGAGCTCTGCCTCACAGGAGGAGAGGGAGACTGCAGACGACCTGGTGGAGCGCCAACTGACAATTCCGCTCCCAAGGGTGAAGCAGTACCCCTGAGAGGAGCGTCGGTCGGTCTGGTCATCAGCCCAGGAGGAGTCGGTGTAACCTTCTAGGCGAGGAGGGGAGAGCCCACCGAGTGTGAGAACGTGAGACTTGGTGCCCTGAAGATAGCGCAGCACCCGCTTCGCCGCCTTCCAGTGAAGATCAGTGAAGCGTCCAGGGGCCACGTAGCGAGAGAGGACACTGACAGGATAGGCCAAGTCCGGCCGGGTGCACATCATGGCGTACATGAGGGACCCAACAAGCTCCGGGTATGGCTCTGAGCAGGCCTCTGGTGTGGGTACAGCTGGAGCTGTGAGGAGGTGTTGCAGCGGCAGCGGGGTGGCAACAGGGGTGCACAGCTCCATCTCAAACCGCTTGAGCACATTGTCGATGTAGAACTCCTGGGAGAGTGAAATGGTGCGAGCCTGGCGATCACGAGTGATCTCCATCCCCAGGTAGTGCTTGAGGTCACCGAGGTCTTTCATCTGGAGGGCCTTGCTCAGGGCGGCCTGGACAGAGGTCATCTGGGCTGAGTCCTTGGCAACGAGGATGAAATCATCCACGTAGACCAGGATGTAGAATGGCTCAGAATGACGGCGGATGAAGAGAGTCGGGTCAGCAGTGGAAGGGTGGAAGTCCAGGGAGAGGAGGACTTCTTTCACCTTGTTGTGCCATTCGCGAGGGGCTTGCTTAAGGCCGTAGACGGGGCGATTCAGCTTCCAGACAGTGTTGGGAGGGAATTCTCCTTGGAAACCTTCTGGTCTGTCCATGAACACTGTCTCCTTGAGACGTCCTTGTAGGAAGGCGGATGAGGCATCCATGGATTTGATCTCAAAGTCTTCTCGAGCTGCGATATCCATGAGCGTACGAATGGTGGGAGGTTTGGATGTGGGGGAGAAGGTTAGGAAGAAGTCACGGTACTGCTGCTGGGTGAAGCCCTTGGCTACGTAACGCGCTTTGAACACCGGGGCCTCGTCTGGGAGCTGTTTTACACGGAACAACCACTTGCCCCCGACGATGTTGACTCCTGGAGGTGGAGTCTCGTCGTCGAAGGAGTGGTTGCGGGTGAATGCTGCAATCTCCGCTTCCATGGCAGCACGCCATTCGGCAGCATGAGGGCCTGAGAGAGCCTCTTGGACGGTGAGAGGGATAGGGATGGTCGGGTTCTCCGCGAAGTTGAGGGAGGGTGAGTCAGTGATGTCGGGGAAGATGTGCGAGAGCTGAGGAATGACTGCATGAAGATCACACAGCTCCTCATGCCTGTCTTCCAGAAGGGTAGAGGGCACATCCCCCCCAGCAGGAGGAGGCGGTGTGATCGCTGTGTATCGAAGAACCATCGCTAGTGGAAGAGCAGCGCGATGCGAACGAGTGCCATGAGCCACCGGAGAAGAGGGTGGGGCAGGCGGTGTCGGAGGGGTTGACTTAGGAGGCTTGGGCGGGGGAATGGGCCGCCGGTGGTACGTGATCAGCTCGGGCGACTGTGGGAGAGCGGGTTCTTCTGTGGTGGGGGGAACCGGGGGAGGAGGTGGGGCCGGAGGGTGTGACCGCCGATGGTAGGTGATAGGTGCGCTCGGAGGTGGCTGCACAGTCGGCGGAGTGGGAAGTGAGGGGGATGGGGGAGCAGCTGCCGACGACACCGGTGAGGGCGGGTCAGAGACCTCAGAGGGGGACGGTGCGGTGGCAGGAGGGGTAGGAGGTGAAGGGGCCGGAGCAGGCGGGAGGTTACGGGGCGCATCAAAGTCTGCCCACACGAGGGAGGGTGGATCAGGGAGAGGGTCCCGTCCCGAAGTGGGGTAGAATGGGCGGGTCTCATCAAAGACAACGTCGCGGCTCCGGACCAACTGTTGAGTGGAGGGATTGAGGAAGAGGTAGTCAGGTGAGTCGGCGTTGTGCCCGAGGTAGATGCACGTCTGGGTCTTGGGACCGAGCTTGCCGCCGTGCTGCCGTCGAGCCTGAGGGTTGAGGAGGACATAGGCGGTGCACCCCCAAACGCGAAGAGAGCGAGCAGTGGGCGTTTTCCCGAGCCAGAGTGTGGTTGGAGTGGCGTCGGGAAGATGCGGGTGGGGGTAAAGGTTGTAGAGGAGGGCGGCGTGGTAGAGAGCGTACCCCCAGAGAGTGTGTGGAGCGTTGGAGTGGCTGAGGAGGCACCGAGTGATCTGCACCAGGGTGTGGTTGCGGCTCTCAGCTATGCCGTTCTGCTGCGGGCTGTCAGGGAGGGTGAAGTTTTGCTGGATGCCTTCGGAGGAGCAGAAGGCTTTGAGCTTGTCGTTGCAAAACTCACCGCCACCATCTGAGTGGAGGCGCTTGACTTTGCGGTCAAAGGCGGTCTGTGCCTGTTTAACCCACGCCATGAGGACCTCTGGAGCCGCACCCTTGGTGTGGAGGAGGTGAACAGAGACGTAGCGAGAGTGGTCATCGACAATAACAAGGAAGTAGCGATAACCACCTCGTGCGGGAAAAGGGGCAGGGCCCCAGACGTCCAGGTGTACCAGGTCCAGTGGTCCAGCTGCGACAGAGGGTGAGGCCGGGTGGGGCTGTTGACGCAGTTTGCTCTTGGTGCAGTCAAGGCACGTGGGAGCGGGGGAGTCTGGTGGTGGAGGAAGTGAGGCTGGCAGGCCGAGTAGAAGTTTCTTGGAGGCCATGTCAGCAAGTGTGCGGAAGTTTGGGTGCCCGAGCCGATGGTGGTAGAGTATGGTCGGGTTGGAGAAACTGCGGCACGAGCATGGGGAGGTAGTCGCCGCTGTTTGGGTGGTTGACACCTGTGGGATGGGTACTTGCAGCGTGTAAAGGCCGCTGCTGTTGAGGATGAAACGAGTCAAGACCTTGTTGGTGAGTGGGTCGAGGATATCACCATAGTTCTCGTTCTCCCAGAAGATGGTGCGTAGCCCAGCTTCCTGAATTTCCGTTTGGGCCACGAGATTGTGGCGGAGTGAAGGCACGCACATTCCAGTGACAGTGCCGGAAGGGAAGGCGGGGCACGGGACTGTGGATGAACCCTTGGCATGAGTGGTGAAGCTTGAGTCAGCTCCTAGGAGAGGGATGGGTGTTGCGTAGGGTTTGAAGGAGAGTGTCTCCTTGAGTACAGTGTGTGTGGCGCCGCTGTCGAGTGTGAACTCTATGTATTGTGGTGCTTGTGATGAGCCGAGGTACTGGGAGGAAGCTTCATTAATCATGGCAGTGCCAGGAAACAACAGGTTGATACGCACATCAGCAGGAGCACTATCACTAGCACTAGCCGAAGCGGGTCCAGGACCTCAACTAGGTTGGCCTTACGAGGGCACATCCAGTTTGGCGGCTTCTTGTCCACTCCGTGAATGGCATACCATTCGTCGTCTTTCTTCTTGAAGCACGTAGCAAGGGGGTGGTTAGTGCCACCACACACTTGTCCCTTGCGGTTGCCATACTTGACGACATAGGTGCACGGAGGGAAGCGGTTGCGCTGGAAGGGCGCCGAGGCGAGGGCCGATGCGACACTTGCTTGCTGCATGGGAGCGCGGATGGCGTAAGCCTTGGCTTGAGCCGTGGAATCTTTCTCAGCAGAGAGGAGTGCGGATGAGACCTTGGCAAATGTGAGGTCTTCCGCTGAGAGCGTGAGGAGCATCTTCCTCGTTACTTCATATGACGAGGTGAGACCAACAAGAAGGGCGGCTGCAGGGGCTTGTTCGGGAAAGACTATGCCCAGCTCCTTCAGTTCGCCATGAATTGTCTGCACCTTGGCGATGTAGTCAGCCATTCCCGAGCAATCCTCAAGGCGGACCTGGAACATGCTGGGGATGAGGATGGCAACTCCGACTGCAGTCTTGTTCATGAACCGATCCTGGAGATACTTCCAGATGGCGTTGGAGGTAGGGTAGTTATGGAACGTGTTGACAAGTTCTGGAGGGGTGGAGGCGATGAAGACGCTGATAATAGCAGCATCGGCCTTCTCCCATTTCCGGTACTTCTCAACAGCTTCCTCGTACGCCCTCATGTCAGTATCACTAGCGGATTCGGTGGGCTCAAGGGGGGAGGGGGGCTGTTTTCCCTTGCCACGG